TAAAAGTCACATCAAAAATAATTTAGAATAATAACTTGAAATATGTACTAATGGAAACTGCATTAGAGTTTCACTAAACTGCAGTAGCTTGAATAATGTGTTCTTAAGTGATCCTTATCTTCTCAATGATCATGCTCCAGAATCTGAACACACTGCTAACTCTGCTGAGAGACGGCTGCTTGGCCAGTGACCTGGAGCCCTGCTCAGACTGCCTGAGGGCCCTCATTTCCTAGGAAGGAAAGTATAGAGTATTATCAGTGAGCACATATTTGAGATTATTATTGCAATGTTACACCAACATTTTATGTGTTTATCTGAAAAAATAACATTGAAATTACTTCACTTTCCTTTATAAACCCTAAATCAAACCAACCGTAACACCACAGAGCTTTCCATATCCCTTTCCCCTTTTCTTGATTATTTTGGGCAGTCACTGGATGCCTGTCAGTTTATAAAACTATGAGAGTAATTACTGTTGGTGGAAATGTGATCTCATTTACTTGGCAGTACTCTCAATACAGATTTCGGTTAAAGCCCAACTCCAGTTTGGTCACTCCCAAGTCCTTTGAAACCCCCCTTTTCAACCCCATCACCACCAGTCATTTTTAATTGTTTAGTGTGTTAAGTATACCTACCTTTTTCACCTTTCTTTGGTTCTGTCATGGGATGCACAAGGTCCAATTCATCTTCTGGTCATTTCTGGCGGTAGGCAGTGCTGAATTCTGCAGAGAAGTTCGCTCACATAATGATGTGATTAAGGTTCTCGGCAGTATTTCCTGGTGAGCCCAGGACAGTTTATTGATGCTTTCCAAAGGGTATGTCCTTGATGCCCTAAACAGCAAGTGGTTTGAAGGTCTCTGGGCATTGTTTAAACTAGGGTTGCACAGATACCAAGTACAGTACTCGGTACAAGTACGAGTACATGTACCGATACTTTTGAGCTCCAAGCCTAGACTAGAGAAAAATATAAAAATTAAGAGGCAGCTGTCATTTGCAAGGATCACACGGAGCTCTGGAGATTTGTACATCTCTGTTTTAATGTACGATTTTGTTTTTATAAATATAAATAAAGGGATGCACAGATACCAGTTTTGCGAGTACGAGTACTGGTACTTGCCGAGTACTTACAAGTACGAGTACTGATACATTTTTGTTTATTGTCATGTGACCGTTTTTCTAAAACAATACAGACTAATAATTTCAGGACAGTGGTGGAGCGCCAGTGCTAGGTCCCAGCTGCAACCGCTGCAACCCTGGTAGTTCTCATGAAAATGCCAAGTATCGGCATTGGTACTCGAAAAGTATCTGTGCATCCCTAGTTTAAACCAAAATAAAGACAGAGCGGTGATTCTGTGAGGGATGACAACGGAGAAGAGGCGAGTACTGCAGTCAGAGCTGCTATTTTTTATTTTATGAAGACCTCTGCATTTTTTGGAGAACCTGAAATTGGGCTTTAAGTTCTATGCAGTTATAAACCATGTATGCTTCCAGTAATAAAAACTAATATACTGTGACGGTTCTTGACAGCAGTCAACTAAAATACATTTCAACGAGGCGGATGGATCATCTTTGTGTATATAGATGTCAGATACATTTTAGTTTGATGTTAATTTTATTTTACAATAACGAACCAAGTTTCAAGCAAGAGCCAGAGAAATCAGCAAGGAGTGGGGTGCCTCTCACGTCACCTGTAGGTCCTGGCAGATTAGTCTATGCAATTCTATCTTCAGATGATGTTAAACAATAGAAAAAGGAAAACAACCATCTGGCTGATCTCTGAGCAGCTCTGGAAATCCTGACTGTTGTCTTGGTATTGGTCTCCTATAATCACTTGCACTTTAGCGGAGCTGTTATTGGATGGAGCGGAGATTTCTCTTGGAGAAGAAGAGAAACAGATGATGTATCGGACAGCATGCTACATGAGATAATATTGACAGATACATGGACAGAATGTTTACACGGGCTGCCCTGAACTGGCCTTTATCTCACTGTAGTTAGTTGGGAGAGCGAATAAGAAGACTGTAAAATGTTTTTTTTGGTCTGTAATTTCTAATATCATCAGCTTGCTCTATATTCCAGGCTTCTCCATGATGCAGCATGAGCTCCTGCTGGAGGGCAATGGGAGGACATTGAGGCTGCTTTGTAATAAAAGGAAAAGAACATGGAGGGGGATTGCTCACAGCAATCTGTCAGATGGCGGCTTTTACTGTATGACCTGAACTAGAAAACAGAAAGCTAGAATCCATTTTTTTGCTGTGACTATTTCATCTAACTTCCTTTTTTTTGGATGTTGTATATCAGTTTCTCAGGTCTGTAAATTTCCATAATCTACAAAGGTGCCAATTATTTTGCAACCATGTTTAAGAGCAAGGCCAATTTTCTTGGTAGATGAGGCCTCAAGTGTAGCTCCTGACATCAGCAAAAAGCTGTACATAATATTAAGTGAATGTAATGCTATAGAAAACTGTCTGAGACTGCAGACATGCAGCAGTAGATGGTCAGAGACTGCAAGCATGCTATAGGAGTTGTTGAAGAGGGAGGTCCTGCCGCAGGGGAGTTGTACAGTAGACTGCCAGAGATCACAGCTATTACAGCCCCTATACAGTTCAATGCTTCCACATTTGTGCCCCCCTTGGAAATTACTTGTACCACCTTTTGTTATTTTCTCAACAAAATCGATCATAAAAGAGAGAAAAAGGACTAGGGATGGACAGCATATAAGAACATAAGATAGCGTGAAAGAAATAAAACAAGCCATGTATCTAATAGAACCAATTTTAAAGAATATTTTACTTTTACTGGCCTCAGTAAGAACTTAGGCAAGAAAAACAGACTTCTGTCGGCAAGGGCCCCGATAATAAGTGCCAAAGGGCCACTTATGGCATTAGGGTTTTAAAGGGTTATGGAGGCAAAATATAAAACTACTAACAGGGTTATTCACAAAAGGGTGAAGAATTTAGAGAAGGCAGGAGAAGTGAACAATCTAGGCCAACATAGCTGAACTGGAAAGTGAGCTGAATTTTTTCCAGTTCAGCTATGTTGTCCTAGATTGTTCACTTCTCCTGCCTTCTCTAAACTCTTCACCCTTTTGTGAATAACTTTGTAAATGTATGCTGACTGCATTGCACTTCACAGCTGTCAGTCACACTATTCTAATTATGTCATCCTACAAGGCCCCTTTCAGATGGGCGGTCCGATCAGGTCCACCTGTCAGTTTTTCAGAATTGGAGGTAATCTGATGTAAACTGACACATATCTATTTACATCCAACTTCCCATAGACCTAACATGGGTATGGTAAGTTCAGTTTGGAGAAAAAACTGGACGGACACGTATGCCACAATGGTGACATCCCTTCAGAACCTCTCCAATCAGCAGGGGATTCGTGTACATCCTCTGCTTTTCGGAGCTGACAGGTAGCCATGTGAAAAGGGCCTCTCATGATCACATGGAGTGCTGTGGAGCACTACCAAGTGAATCGCACAATTAAAAAACACTGGTGACCTGAGGTGTGATCAGATTACTTTGTTCATGGTGTCTGCTGTTCTTAGAGTTCACTTCAGCAAATTGCATTTTTATGGAGCCGAATATACTAGTGGGGCTGTCAGTATGATAGCTGCAGTGCAGTGCGTTTTGCGTTTCCGGACCGTTTCCTGACCGCACAAAATGTGACATGCAGTATTTTTTCTGTCGTAACCTGAACAGACTGCGCACGTGAGAACTGTGGCCCATAAAACACGTAGGGATACATTGGGATGCATTTTTAGTGCAGGAGCGTACGGATCAGGTCAGCACAGAAAACGGACGTCGTGTGAACAGGCCCTTATAGATTTATCTACTGCTACAGAAAGTCTGATAGTTTGATTTCCTGCAGAATTCAGGTTTTAATGTTATCATAAGCACTAAGTTCTCTTTATTGGGTTTTTATTTTTTCTGCCAGTGCTGGGCACTCAGCCTAACCCCAAATTGCTTGTCATAGATTATGGCCTTATGGAGAGAGACTTGCCTCTTTTTGCTTGCTGAGAACGTTGACTGTTAACCATCATAAAGATGCATATATGTACTTGTTACTTGTCTGTGCACTCTCCCAGACCACTAATCATTCAAAGGATACTAAACAGAATTGGAATGTACCAGATCTGAGCTACAGCAGCCAAGCATGACTCTGTACCAGCAGATAACAATACAACTTTCTTTATTTTCCACTGACAATACAGAGGCCGCCACAGCTGATTTTTCCTTTAGAAAATGCTACTTGCCTGGGTGGCATACAAATCTCATGGCTTCAATGATTCCTAAGTGATGTGTAACAAGTATGCAGATCAGGAGTTCTGACTTCACTCAGGCTTTCTAATCTCCATGATTGTTTCTGGTCAATGACTCACAAAGTAGTGAAGCCAAAAACAACCAAGCATCTAGTATTTTAAAAAATGAGGTAAACAGTGGAGGAGGTCTCAATACAGGTTCCTCTAAGTATGAGTGAGCCAAGAAGGCTTCATGGGGTATCAGCACTTCCAAAAGTCAGAGTCAGAATGGGTGTACTCCAAATGCATAGCCAGATCAGCAAAGCTTGAGTGTGAGAGGAAGAAGCAGTAGAAGGAGCCAAGCAGTTCATGTGCTGATAAGAAGCATGTTGATAGGAAAAGAGAGCAGAGTGAGAGAGAGATGAGCTCATCACTGTGCTGTTTCTCCTTTCATGGTCCTGCAACAGCTTAGGGTGGGTTCAGAACAACCTGGGACATCTAGAGGCAAATAAAAAGTATTGTAGGGAAATTCTCGGGATTGAAGCTTAATATTGCAGCAAAAGCTGTTCTGCTATTTTTTTTTTAAGACGCATTCATCTTTATTGTGTTATTTTTGGCTGACGTTCTTCTGTATCCAGGAAACTGATAATTTTATATCTTCTATAGTATTGCTAGTCTTTCAATGCTTCCATTTATAGATCTCTGCTAAAATAAGTCCCATGTTTCATCATGTTGTGTGTTTTCCTTTTATTTGCAGATGGTGGGCCGACACTTGTATTCTGGGAGCGTGGACCGGACAGCGAAATGTTGGTTGCCTGACACTGGTGAATGTGTTCGGACGTACAAGTCTCACAAACACAGCGTTAGCACTTTGCAGTACCATGCTGGAATATGTAAGTCACAGTCACTTCTATAGAGTTAGACCAGCAGCATTACACCCCTCTACAACACTCGCGTATACATTGAAAGAAGAACGCCAGGAAAAAAATGTACTAACCCTTGCAGTGAGGCTTCCTCCGGACTGCAAGAGTTAACTGCTCGTTTGTGTGCAGGTGCTAAAAAAAAAAGTTATACTCATCAGAGCCAGCTTGTTCTTAGACCGGTATTGTGAGCGTCTCTCCCCCTCTGCTGCAGCAGTCTAAGGATCCTGGTGTCATCTCGCTCTATACACTGTGCATAGACATATAGACATGAAGACGCAGAGGAGCAGTCCATCTGTGCAGCGGAGGAGCAGACACGCTTCAGTGATCACAGAAGCAGGGAGTTGGCTCTGATGGTCTGGTGCTTAAGCACCCAGACAAAAACGAGCAGTTAACCTTTGCAGATAGCCCCACTGCAAGGGTTAATAGCATTTTTAACCGGAGTTCTTTAAGCAATGACATAGAAACGACAGGCGCCATTTGAAAGTATATGCCATATGATAAAGGGCCAGTCCTCTCAAACTTGGTGGGCTCCTGGCTTCTCATAAACTCTTGAGGACTCCACTTAGGGGGATCTCCTTGCCATGGTTCCCGACTCTGTTACTACAAACCTTTGGACAACCCACTGCTAATGTTACATTTTCTATAGCATGAAATTGAAATGAAAAAGATCCGACATTCAGCAAGGGAGTCAATTGTAATGACTTCAGCAGATATGCAGATCCAACAATCTCACCTATGAGACATTTCCAGATATGCAGATCCAACAATCTCACCTATGAGACATTTCCAGATATGCAGACCCAACAATATCATCTATTTGAACTTTCCAGATATGCAGACCCAACAATCTCACCTATGAGAAATTTCCAGCTATGCAGACCCAACAATCTCACCTATGAGAAATTTCCAGATATGCAGACCCAACAATCTCACCTATGAGAAATTTGCAGATGTACAGACCCAACAATCTCACCTATGAGAAATTTGCAGATGTACAGACCCAACCAATCTCAACTATGAGAAATTTGCAGATGTACAGACCCAACAATCTCACCTATGAGAAATTTGCAGATGTACAGACCCAACAATCTCATCTATGAGAAATTTGCAGATGTACAGACCCAACAATCTCATCTATAAGAAATTATGCAGATCCAACAATCTCTCCCCGATAGATATAAAAATCTGTTGGGAGATTTAGGTGTTTAACGTCTACCAAAAGCTGAAATATCAGTTATCAGAATTACTATTAATAATGAATTACTTAGTAATCTGCCAGCATTATCTTAAGGTTACTAGGTACATTGGACCTTGGTCCCATTCCCACTTGGCAAGTGCGACAACGTGTGTTGTTCTAAAGCATGTTTTTTTTTTTCACGCTTATCACACACAGGACAGCGCATTAATTTCAACATGTGGCAAAGAAGCTCATGCACCTTTTTGGAGCTTCACATGCTTTTTGAGCACTCGTCACAAAATGCGCGTCTTGCTTGGTGCGTTTGGGGTGCCATTAACAATAAATGGCACGACAAGCTCAACAATCGTTTTTCATGCAAGTTACAATTGCGGGTGTGATTGGGGCTTAAAACTAGAAAATGTAAAGCTTTGTAGGTAGACTAGTTATAATTGTTTGGGAAGCTGTGTTGAGTGCATACCAGTGATATGTACTCAGCTGTTTATATCTATATGACACAAGGTTGCTAGGTCACTATGTGCATGAATGACCAAACTACATAGCAGTTAATTAATATGATAAAGACATACACAAAGGCAACTGAGCTGCTTTTGCTTTGGCAACCAATATATTATAGTGATAGAAAATGTAAAATTGCTTATAAAAGATGTTCAGCATTGAAAACAAGAAATATTTGTAATCAGAAGTGAGTGGATACGCCATTCCTTGTTTCCAAAGCAGGTTTTAAAATGAAATGGTTGGTGTAGGCCACACAGGTCATGATTATTTAGGAAACCCAATCACTAAACCCTCATATAAGCTTCAAAAGAGAGGTAAAGCCAAGTTTTTATTTGGCTTGACTTTTTTTTTATGGTCACAGGAGTTTATTTACTAATGTACTCCTGTAACCAAAGTCAGCAGATAGAGGGCTACTGCCAGCTATATGCTGACAGTGCAGAGCTATGCTGCAGCCAGGAAGGAACCCCACAAAATTGTGGGATCCACCTGGCTGCCTGACTGACAATTGACAGTACTTGCCCCCTCCCCTGTCTGTCCCTCCAATGGGCACTGGAGTAGCAGAGAGGAATGTTTGTTTTTTTCACACAAAACAAACATTTACAGATATTCGAAGGTGCCCTACAAATTGTTTATAAATAGACCCATAATTGTCATTCGGTTGGGATTTATGTGTACTTTAAATCATGAGGTCCCATAAAAGTGCTTCAGTTCAGTAAGAATACTGTCTACTCTATCCACTTAACACCTCAGATGTTACTATATAGATATAGTATACTTGTTAGTACATTTACTAAGTTTTCCATCTTAGCACTGGTTTGCAATGTCCTGTTACCTTGCTGTTATGTGCTGTTGGGTGTCATTTTCTAGAAATGTATCTTTAGTGCCGTGTAAAATCTTACTGTTTTTGATAAGTTTGCATTGCTTTCACTACAGTTGTGTTATATTGACAAATGTGACAAATGATCTTTGCTTTATTTTCTTTCCAGTATTTACAGGAAGTGGCGATACTTGTGCGAGGGCATTCAATACAAAGTCAGGGGCCTTGCAACAAGTCTTCCCAGGACACACATTCATCATAAACTGCATTCAGGTGTGTTAGGAGCCCATATGTATTTCCAGTGCTGGAAAACCTAGAGATTGCATGCTTTGAATTTCCTGGGCCAGGGAGGTCCCTGTTCCTTGCTCAATCCATGTCACATCAAAGCAGAGCGCATATGGAGCAGTCAGGATGGCATTTTTTATGTAGCGCCTGGAGGAAAAGTCACTCATAAATGTCCTGTGATTTTTTTTTGTTTGCAGATATATGACAATGTTTTATATACGGCTTCTCATGATGGAACTCTTCGAGTCTGGGACATACAGGAAATCTACTCACAAACCAAGCACCAGAAGAAGATAGCCGTGCGGAGTAAACTCTCTCAGAAGGGAAGCTTGCCTCACCTCTTCCATAACAAAGTGGGTTGCTCACCAGAGGATAATGATAGCTGTGAACCAGTAGAATTGATATGAAGTTCTGGAAGACTGTTTTTTCTAGCAATGCTGGAAACCTTTGGTGGAACTACTGCAATAACTGTCCATATGACTGCTATGGGACCCAGGGAGAAAAGGGGACCAAATGAAGCATCAGTGAGAGCTGAGAGCTTTGTATCTGTGTGGCACAAGGTTTGAGGTCTGATTTGTAGTTTTGTACAGTTACCATAACTAGTGGCAAGTTGATCTGAACTCTAAAGTTACCTTTGCTTTTGTCCAGCAGGCAGTCAATATAAACAGTGGCTAAGGAGGTAAAACTGAGCTGGAATATACCTATCAGATGCAATAAGCAGGTCTTGCAGCACCGTCCTGGGCTATATGGCTAAACCTGGTATGCTGTTATGTGACCCAACTATGCCGCATCCATTGACTGTAGCTAAACAAATCTGCTAACTTTAACACCCCAGCGTACTGCTGTTCATCTCCTGTCATGTGACCCAGAATTGAAGAACTACAGGACCCATTTATTACAGCAGGCAGTTGAAAGGGAATTTGTGTTAAAGGAAATATGGAGGCTGCCATTGCTACTAATTGCTATTTTCCTGGTCTCCATTGGCTTAAATACTTTTTGAGTTCCTGAACTGGAAGAGATATGCAGAAAGTATAGTCAGATCGAGATCTGACTATTTGTTTTGGGCCAGTGAGTCCAAATTTACTGGGATTGTTGAACCTGCATGGCAGCCATGGAACTAGCATTTTTAGGAGGTCAGCACTGGCAATTTCCATTCCCTTTAAGGTTCTCCTAATTTCCATCCCTTTGCTTATCCTCTTCCGTACCATCCTGGTTAATTAAGTAGACCTGTCTTTAGAGTTTAGGTCCTTAACGTGTGCTATTACTGCAGATCCGGGCTTACTATCCAATAAGTGAGCCTGCGCTTGTTTTACATTGTAACATACAGTACATGAGAGCTATGAAGGCTGCCATTGCTGGCCTTTAGAAAATTCATTGACATACAATAAATATGCAGCCAGTGAAATCAGAACTCCTGCGCTCCATACATGTTCCAGATCAGTTGCTCACAAGATTGAAGCCACTGAATCAGCAAGGCAGCCAGGTAACTAGTGTTTTAAAAAAGTAAACTGGACAGTCCTTGTAATTAGGGCTGCTGGTACTGAGGGAATAGACGGGTAGGACTAAAGAAGAGGCAACACCACGAGCCCTGCTCTCTCGCTTTCTGTTCCCTAATTCAAAGAAGGAGCACAGCATTCTATGGAGCACACATCAGTTCCTCCAATACTGGAAATTTGCACCAGATAAAAGCTATCAGGGTTATTCACAAAAGGCTGAAGAGTTTGGAGAAGGCAGGAGAAGTGAACAATCTAGGTCTAGGACAACATAGCTGAACTGGAAAGTGAGCTGAATTGGAGAATTTTTCCAAATCCATTATGTTGTCCTAGATTGTTCACTTCTCCTGCCTTCGGCAAACTCTTCACCCTTTTGTGAGTTACCACGTATATGCCTCGGAGCCATCTGTCTGTGAATCTGTATATGTGGGCCTAAAAGGATCAGTTCACCCAAAAGTGATATTTCTTTTAGTTGGGGGCTCCCTGCCATAGTTTGCACCCTCCTACCTGCCTTGAAGTGTTCCCATTACCTATGTTGCATTATTCACAGCATAAAATAAATGAAAACCTAAAGAGTAGAACCCCATGGCCACTCCAGGTGTGCAGACCTGAGCATGAAATCTCCCCAAAAGAAATAATGAACCGTATCAGTTTTGGGTAGACTGACGCTGGTAAATGCTGGAAAGCTGAACACTGACAGCCCTTTTAGGGGTTAAATCAATTTGAATCGTCTTAGAAATAACAGATTTTGCACATATAGTTAGTGTGTTCAATCTGTAGTAACTTTGTTCGTTTTGGATAGAGTAGGAAGCGATTACCAGCTTTATCAGGCTTTTTTTATTTTTTCTCTGTGTCCCACTGGGGGGATTTTCCTTCACTTCCTGTCCTCCTTTCCTTCTGTCACCTCTAAATCCACAACAGCTGACATGGGAACAGGTGTAGCCATTGCAAGATTCTATCCATACCTGTTCTGGTGACAACTGTGACATTTTGAATTTCTATTCAGGTGACAATTGTGATCAGGACAAAAAGGGGGAAATATCCCCAGCAGTGACACAACAATAAGAACAAGAGCCTCTAAACGTTTTGGCTGTAGATGGGATCTATTTATATTTTTTCCACAAAAGTTTCACCTAGGATTCACACGTTTGTTAACTGGATTCAATTGGAAAACTGTGAACGCTGAGTTAAAGTTGTGTGAAAACATTTACACATGGACCCCTTAGTCATTATCTCCTGTATATTTATACAATATGGACACCTCCGCTGGCCTAGTCATGTGACATCACAGAAGTCTATTTCATGTCCAGATTGTTACTTGAATGTTCACTGCCAAGTCTTTGGAAATCCTTTTATACATGTTATGGTACTTTCATCAGAACTACAAGCATCAGAAATTGTGCGTGCCTTAGGACAACATATAAACTTTCACCTGATTGTGGAAATGATATTCTGTGCAATATAGTAGACTTTGTTTTAGTAAACATTGTATACAAGTAGATTTTTAGCTGTTTTTCCCCCTTCATACTGCAATTGTGTGATCTATGACTACATTTCCTTTAACATTTGATATAGTATTTTAATTCAGCTTTTTTTAAATGCGACCATAAGAGATGCAAATAAAGTGTATGTGAACCCTAACAATGCACTTGTCTTACCTGGTCCTTTTTTGTCTGTTATATATATATATATATCTCACCATTGAAAGCGTTTTGTTAAAGGAGATCTATGAGGGGAGTGATTTCCACTCATAGTTAGAGCTGACCTGTGACAAAGAAGCTGTCGCAAGTCAGCTCCATCGATCAGGAAGTGAGCAGAAACATGCACCGATCCACTCACTTCCCGATCGTCTCCCTGCAGTAAGCAGTGACTGTCAGTCACAGCTCCCCACAGGGATTCTCCTCCTCCCCTCTCCGATCCTCCAGCGCTGAGTGGAGGAACAAACGGGGGAGAGGGCGGCAACCGCTGTCTCTGCCTCTAGATAGGCAGAGCCCGATGTCACTCACGCAGCTGGGTGGATCCCGACAGTATTGTCGGGATCCGTCCCGGCTGCAGTGCTCAGTATATCGAGCTTTAGGTCATGGGAGGTTAGGGTCACGGTAGGACAGTTACCCCATAGTTCTCTTTTAAATCTCTTATATCTGGCTGTCAAAATACCTGAACAATGCCTGCATCCAATCAGATTGTTCAGGTATTTTGACAGCCAGTGGAACTGACTTGCACGATACGGACGCTTGGCCCAGTGGGAGATTCCTCCATCCACACAGTTTAGCATAGATGGAGGAATCTGTTACACTTTTTCCATCTAACCATAGAAAACCTGCAGATAATCTATAGGTGTATGGCCAGCTTTAGTTTTGTAAGTAATTCATTGACCTGTCACCAGAAGGGAATCAGTTGGACAGAACCAAAAGACATGGACTAGAGTTCCTCTGTGTGTTTTACAACTCTTGCATCGGCCAGAGCTATTTGGATAGATGCGTCTTAATTCATCAGGGGTATAATACCAGTAAAAGAGAATTTTGCAGGCGTACTCTCTGTACGTGGTCCAAAGTGAACTTTTGTTGGGTTGATCCTCAGTTCACATAGCAGCTCTCCCTGCAAACTTTCCTCAAATGTCTTCATATATTGGAGCTTAAAGGAGACAGAAGGATCTATGTCATTGAGTATCTTATATATTTTGGAGATGCAATCCCTTTGCAGATTCTTTCAAAAGATATGTTTACTTCCATATAACATTGTGTCCTTCACCCTTAAGCCATTTAAGTACACTTGTCATGAGAGAACTATGACTGACTTGACTTGAGCAAGCAGTAAAAATCAATGAAATATCAGAATGAGTTATCTGTATACTTGTTGTGGGTCAGTGTCCCAGGATGTGCTGTTCATTAGCATTACTGTAAGACATCTAATATGTTCTGTATGTGAGGTCAACAATGGAAACCAGAACCATATTTGTTTTATGACAGGTTTCCTTTGAGAGCAGTAACTGCTTATCTTAGCACAAATGACGAGGTCTGCTTCGCTGAAGAATCTGCAGAATGACTTCTCATCTAAACATTAAAAAAGAAACATGACAATACAGTGGAATATAACAGTTTATTCAGGAATTCATTTGATGTCAACATCAGTCATCAAAAAAATACAGTCTGATCATGCATTGTTCATAGAAGAACAGACAAAAGTATCTACCACTTCTACTACCTTTCACTGAAAACTTGCTGGTGTTTTCTGATTTCCTAATAAGTGTTCACCTCTGTTTAATACTTCTAAAGGTAGAAACACAAAGCTTAATCCAGGAAAGTGTCTGAGAAAAGATATGCCTCAGACAGTCTTAAAGCATTCAAAAATTCTAGATACAGATTATCTTGAGTGACTTTAAACATCATTTCACCTCTACACCTGTGCAGATATTTGTCAATAACAAGACAAAGTCCTTTAGCATGGTTTTCATGCCTATCTCTGGGCAAAGAGAAACCCTGCCCCTGCTACTCATGCACTACATGGGGTAACTGCTCATTTATGTCTAGGGGATTGTTTACAGCAGTTTTACTTACCCCCATCCCCGCTCCTCCAGCAGTAGGTGCTCACCTCTCCCAACCTCTGCTGCAGCTCTATAGGCTCTGCATTCGTCGTGATCAGCGGGTACCTAACCCCTGGAGCATTTTATTTCTAACATTTCACTAGGAACCAATAACATGCTAGTATGATGAATGTGCACAAATTAAGAAATTGCTCCAGATGGCAAGTGATCAAAGGTTATATCCATCCAAAACATATATTTGGGCTTTTTGTGGATACCAGTGGTTGGAATTCCCCACTTTCTGATGGGTTATAAAAGGAAGATATAGTGGCTGCTTTGATCCCCACAATAGTAGCTACATGTGGAGTGGGAACTCAAGTGCAGACTCTAAAATAGACAGAGGAAGCAGGAGGCTGATTTAAAGCACCTGTGTATCCTTGAAGCTTAATCATCAGTGATGAGAGGTGGAAGGTCATACTCAGAGGCCAGGAGCTGTGTGGGAAAGAAGAGGCATATTGCTTGGCATTTTCACACATTCTTGATGGGCTCCATGATGATGCAGCTGTCATGTAAACACAACACAGTGCTCTAGCTGACATATAGAGGTACACATACCTATAAATGTTTTAGGATCACCACTGTGCATGACAATGCCGAGCAAGAAGCTCTGTCTGACAGAGAAAGCTCCTCACCCACCTGAACAGGCTCATACCTTTAATTTGTAAAGGAATTGTAAAGGCATTGTTGTTTCACCCGTCAGTGTTTTTGTTTTGGAGAATATGGGTGATTATATCTGAACAGGAAAGGAAGAATGTCAGGTACACACAAGGAAGTCTGTGCTCATGACAGTGTACACCATTGATGATCTAGATGACAACTGGCAACTCTCTCTCTCATGTTTCAGCCCAAAAGGGCTTAGACTAAGTGACTATGCTCCCTATAGGGTGAAACACTTTAAATGAGCCAGTTTGGGGTTGAATCATCTGTTGCAATAAATTCATGAGCAAGAATAAATGGGGTGCACCTGAAATTCTTTCTTTATTACTTGGACTGGTTGACCTGTTATGAGCCATGTGTTATGTGTTGGGTGGAAGTCTACTGACTGTGATCAGGCTTGGGAGCAGGAATATCCTCTGTATATGTTATTACCTATAAACAGTGATATGAAAACGTTCAGAAACTGGGCAGCTGAGTCAATCTTCAATTTTTACGAATAAAGAATGCAATAAAAGCAGACTCAAGGAACAACTCTCAAGATCATGTAAAGACTGTAAGAAATACCGGTCAGCAAATTATTGTGCAACTATCTTCCTTTGCCTCTCCAATTATGTTTTCTAAACATTATCCCTTTTTTTTAACTTCCTGTTTCCATGTTTCCTTTCCTCTTCCAAGCCCAATTTGCGGGTATTTTCATTATTGAGCAGTGGCTGTCACCCATCAACAATGCATAAAGGGAACCGGCCAATAAATGACCCAAACAGCATACAGTTATGTTGAGATAAGTCATCACCTTACTCCCCGAGACCTGTGGAGACCTGGCAACCCAGAATCAAATCACTGAATTCAGGTTCTTATGTTGAGTCTGTTTTCCCAAAATTCCCCAGCATGCAGCAACTCAAGAACACTCTAGGACAGGGGTGGCAAACTCCGGCCCTCCAGCTGTTGTGGAACTACAAGTCCCTTGAGGCTTTGCAAGATTCTCACAGCCACGGGCACGACTCGCAGAGGCAGATACATCATGGGATTTGTAGTTTCACCACAGCTGGAGGGCCTGAGTTTGCCACCCCTGCACTAGGATGCAGATACATAGACTGCTAGAGACAGGTTCCCTTTAATAGTCATTATAGAATTTTCTACATTGTTTTGGTTCAGTCTTTCCAAGTATGCTGTGGCTGTTGCTTGACCGAGTTCCATGGAAGAGACTTCTGGCATGGAAATGGTGAGATGAGAGCATAGGGATCCTGTACCACACCCCCTAACAGCAGCTGCTAGGGCAACAAATACAGCACTGGTGATCAATGAAAATGAGTGCCTGGAAACCAACATTACATCAGCTATTAAACAACCAATCTATATTTCATAACCTGGAAACACTGCATAAGTTTACTGCTGCCACAGAAATCAGATTGGAGGTTTCATTATTCCATAATGTGCAATCATTGTCTCAAATATGTAAGAAGGTACATAAAACCTTAGGATATTTTATTGCTAAGGACTCAGAAATGGCACAACAAGTGGCTCCAGTGCAAAAACTCGGGCATAACTACAGAAATAGCCCATGTCTTCAAAGCATAGAATACAATTTAATTGGAGTATATAAAGGATTGAACATGACAGACTAAGAACTGGCTTATACAAAAATCTAAAAGCATTTTCTACTGTTATAAAGTGCAAAGCCCTTTCCTCACCTAATGGCTAAGCAATTTGGGGTCTCCACTCAAAGGCAGACCACGTTTGATGGTATTTGGCAAGATTTTCTTCAGATACTGGAACAAGAGTGTTTGCTGGAATTTTGAGAATTGGAAAATCAAGCCAAACAACAAATATAAATCAACACTCACTGCAACCCCACTAAAAAAATAAATAACTTTTCTCAAAATTTATCCTGAAAAGTGATTAAAAATTATGAAACAAAATGCCCACGTGTGCTTTGATTTTTCAAATCCTATTTCCAGACTGAATGGGACTTTGATTTTTGCAAGAATATTTTTAAAATCGTATAAATGGACTGAATTAGGAACACATGGACACCTAAGTCCTGGAAGTTTAAGAACTGCAGAAACAGTCACAGCAATGATCAATCTATTATTATAAATAAGCATAACAAAAAGCACACTAAAAGCACAAGATTCAAAACAAAATTAGGAACCCATGGACCCTGTGAATGTTGTATGCTTCAGTACTTTATAGAGAACTATGGGGGAAAAAAAGATTACCCCATAGTTCTCTTTTAAGTCACGGGAGGACATGCACCAACATCCTCCCATGACCCAAAACTCAGTATATAGCAGACTAATGCAGTCACCGCTCTCTGCAGGAAGATGATCAAGGAGTGAGCGAGTGGCGGTGTCTGTTCGCTCACTTCCCGATCAATAGAGCCGGCCTGTGACAGTTTTAGTGTCACGGGTCGGCTCTAACTATGGGGATGAGTGTAATTCACTCACCCCATAGTTCTCCTTGAACTAACTAGAAGACCCCAAAAAAGGTTCGACAAAAAAAAAAAAGTAGTAAAAAAACTTATTTTTTAATTATAGAGAAGGGCCTATTACAATTGTATTCTCTGAAAGTTGATGACGTCACTGGTCACTAAGGTGCTGAATAGCCACAATGTTTGGGAGTACAACGCTCCACTGATAAGGTGCAGGAGAGTGTTCACCCAGATGCAATTTCCTAGTTTTTAGCCGATTCTTGAAACATGGGCAAGTGGCTTTCTGACAACAATACTCATGGTACAGCTAATAAGAAACTGTCACTTCCTATGGCTTGTGCAAAATACATCACTGGAAGAAAAAGAAATCTGCACAGTATAAAATGAATTCATGTATTTCCTACAGATCTAAGGATCTAATTGCTGGTGTCAAACTTGATAAAATATGCATCCTGAGAATATGAACCTCTAGCAGATTGATACCATTTCTGCAGTTATATTAAATGACAAAATGTAAAATATATATATATTAAATATATAAGTAGCATTTCAGTTTCAGAAAGTTGCCCTTAAATATTTATTTTGCTCTCCAGAATGTGGAGTGTATTTTTTTTCCTGAACAACACATCATTTGTACCAGTATTTAAATCAAACTCATCTGTATAAAGTGCTATAAAATACAACAAAGAGATCCTGTATAAAAGCAGAAGTGTCCGCGCTGACCACAGTAAGCAGTCAGGTTCCATATGTCATGTTTCTAGCACAAGAAACCAAAAGGAACATTTGGATTGGCTGCTATGGACAACATAGGAACTTCAATGTCGGAGAAAAAAAACTAAAGTTACTGCAGTTCAGTAAAGTCCCAAACTACAGCTTTTCTAGGTAAGAAAGATATTCAACAAGAATGAGCTCTTCTTCCTCTAGTGTTAAGTCGAGATAGTCTTCTTCATGTTCAGGGATATCATCCAGAATTTCCTTCACAGGGTCAATGTCCGGTTCAGCACGGTTGGTGCTACTTGATGAGCTTGTCGCTAACAGTTAAACAGAAAGGAGGCATTATTTCCTGATGTAAAAGTTGATGGATGGCTAACAATCTTTGTTACAACCCTCCCAAAAAGTAAATTCTCCTTAATGTGAAAGTTATATCCACCGTCAAGAACTCCTACAAGGGCAGATGATCTCACCCGACCACAGTCTTGTGGTCTTGGAAAATCTGAATCACATAAGAAAGCCAACAAATTCTGGGCACAGAGACCCACTAAAATGAATAGCTTTCCAATATTGCTGGTTTTATCTCCAGTCAAAAAAAGCAGACAGGTTGCTGGTCCTCCTGGAACGCTACAAGCGCGTCCTGCTAGTAGAGATTTACATCCGAGTTAGCAAGAACTCCCCAGCTACTGCACTCATACCTGGGTGTCTCACACTCCTGAAATGGACTTTGTTAATGGAAAATACAGAGGAAGGATGGATGTCTAACAACACTTCTTTCTGTCAGTAATTGGCCTATCCAACACATTCCTGTCCACAGTCTGTACTAGGGATGCACCGATACAGGTAATTCGGTATCGAGTACCGATATTTTTTTTCCGGTACTCGCTGATACCGAATACCGGAAGTCCCATTTAGGAAGCCAGGCGGCGTGTAATGACTTGCCACCTGGCTTCCTGATTAGCTGGGAAGCCATCCCCATGCTTCGTCACTATGTGACGAGTAAGCATGGAGCCGGCTTTCTGGATAAATCAGGAAGCCGGGCGCCATGTAATGATGCGTCGCCCAGCTTCCTGAATAGGCCGGGAAGCCAGCTCCATGCTCCCTCGTCATGAGGTGATGAGGGAGCATGAAGCCGGCTTCCCGGGCCAATCAGAAAGCCGGGCGTCGCGCCATTATCAGGCTAGGCATGGGACCATTTGGGCCAGTACAAGTATGCACCCAAATACCCTGCATACTAGTATCGGTATCGGTGAATCCCTAGTCTTTTCATTACCATCCCCCTGCATACTGCCCTGTGATGAAGATACAGTTAACCTGCATCATCCCCTTTTTTCATTTTACCCACTTGTCAGTCTATATTAAAAAACAAAGCTGGTTTTATTAAAACATTGTACTGAAGGGAACTCTTATGGGTGCGTAAAAAAAAGTAAAATGATTTAAGTATTAAATTAGTCATAGAATTGTAGTCTAGTTCAAGTGGAAGTTTAGGCAAAATATAACATTTGCAAGCAGGAAGGGTTTTTATTTTTATTACTGCAGAGGAGTCATACTATGTCTCTTCTGAAATCAAGGATACTTAACTTCCTCTTCACAAACTCTTTACCCCTGGACGCTGAGCTGTGTAGGTCAGTGTACGATCCTGGCATCTCCCGAGTGCTAGGATGGGGCACGGGAGTGACGTCATCCTACCCTGACCTGCCAAGATGGCCGAAGCTCCGGAACCTGAAAAAACACCTCAGCACCAGCATTGAAGCTTGTAGACATCCTGTCACTGGAGGTGAGTGTAATTATGTTTTAACTGATAGGCACTGATGCTAAATTTGTCCTGGGAATCTAGGCTTCAATGACCCCTGGGCATGAAAGGGTTAAATATAATTTCAGGGAGAGTGATTTCACAATGTGATACCTGCAGGCGAGGAGGACGAGGAGCTGGGCTCGGGTGCTGACGAAGAGTTTTCCAGCTCTTGCAGGAGGTGAGAAGGGAGATCTCCTTGGTGGTGAGCCAGCATCTGAGCGGCCAGTTCAATGTTACCTTGGAATAGTTGGAGAGCTGCCTTAGCTGCCTCAGGAGTGAAACCAATATACACCAGCTAGACACAAAGACAAGCAACACATGAGGACATAAAACACTCATTGTACTTTTGTACTTCTTCCAACAGTGAGGTGAATTCAGAGAGCAGTGTAATACAATGCATGCGTCCACAGACATAACTATACACATAATAAGGGCTCCTTTGTCATTTATGAAATGAAATTTGATTTCAGTAAGACCTGAAATTCTTAAATAACAAACATAAAACATGACCCACCAGATGTGGATTTATTGAAGCACCGGTTACCTTTACCCGCAAAAATTTTATTGAAGAAAGTTTAATAACTACATTTCAGAAAGGGATTTATTTTATCTGATGCATAAAAAACTGGAAAGACTTTGCATAACAGTCAGTATTTCTCGAACGCTCAATTGCTGTCAGTATTAACATGGATTAAACTTTGTCAGTAAAATAAAATTGAAGTAGAGCTAAACACAAAATTGATGGCATGTAATTTGTGAAAGCATTATATATCACAAACTGCCATGTTTTATTCTTCCTATAAAATACAGTTTTCAGCTTTTTTTTAACCCATGGTTACAACTCAGTGGTGCTGATCTCCTCCAGCCCCTTTTTTATAACGTTCACTTCAGTGGCAGTTGCATGTTATTGCTCCGGACTGGCTTCCTAATACTGACACCAGGAGATTACGCCTGCACAATATGTGTTGGTGTGACACAAGGGACGAATGTGATGCAAGAACACGATTGAGAGACAGTTATTAGTCCACAGAAGTTTCTGAACAAGGACCTTCTTGGAAGGAATAGCAAGTGTTATTTCAATGAAAGCTTCAGATTTAAAAAGATTGCAAATCATTTTGAAATGACATTAATATTCTAATGCTTGCGTTCAGATCTACCTGAAATGCATAATTAGTCACACAATAAATGTATTCTACGTTGGCACATCCCTAAAAGGGACTTATCCATGCAGTTCCACTGCAAGTGGCTCCACCATCTTTGTAGTAATATCAGGCTTGGTCCAGCATCTAGTTCCTGTGAGAAGTTGGCTCTCTGATGATGGTAATGTCACTGCCTCTATCTGTATCACTGTTCCTTGGCTGAACTGCATTACAGCACGACAGCAAGAGTGACAGCGTGGCTTTGATTAAAAAATGATGCCTCTAGCCTGACATTATTTGCCTTTAGACTCAAGGTGTAGCAATGTACCAGGTCACTATCCCCTCACCTGTTTAACCTACTTGTAAAACTTTAGGGATTTCCCTTTTCACCACACACACAAATTTAAAATAACAACACCACCTTTCTCCACATATGTGCCACTAAGCCAGAGACAAAAGCTAGTGTGGACAAATATGAAATAATTCAAAAAGCTCTTTAAGTCTGGGAAGGTTATTTACCCCTATGGGAG